CTTAATATCAGTCAGTCAAGCATTATAATATGATAATCAAGTATTATTTAATAATAGAAGTTTAGTAATTAGAATTAAAACTTGGTAACCATGAACTTAGGACTGGTGCTGGTGCTTTTTTTTGGTCATTCAGTGTTCCTGTAAAAAAAACGAACAATAATACTGGTAAGATATTATTATTAGTATTATTATTATACGAATTCTACTAATAAGAACAATATAAAAACGCACTAAGGATTAATGAGCTACTGGATTCATGAATATTAATCAGGTTGTGTGCGTTTGCTCGAACTGATTCGCTGATATCAAAACAGGGACGATAATAGGTGAGCACCAGCCAATGAGTTTGTCGTTTGCGCAGTAGTTCCACCCACTACAGGAAAACCCGGCAGTTCTTAAAAGCTGAAGAATTCCAAAGGAACTCTGTTATTTTTACAGAAAAATACAACAAAGTATATCGTTTACATGTAGCACATCAATTCTGCATGTTATGCAAGATTTGCTCTCGCTCTTTGCGCGTGTGAGAGAAAGTGACGGCGAGTCGTGCGCCTTCACACTAGAGTTTACGTTACGCCAAATACACAAACACAGGTGCGCTGCGCATCCATTCAAATGAACTGAAAAACATCACTGCTCGCCTGACGGAGAGTGAAACTCTGAAGTGCTCAGTCAGAGTGTTCTGAGAGTGAAAATTTATCTGTGCTAATCATATACTCAGCATCCAACTCACACACTGGCGAGTAAAATCTGAGAATTGATTAGCCATCGGCTAATATTAGACATCATTTAGTCGCCCAGAGTGAAGATTTAGTCGCATATGCGAGTGATTTACTCGCAATATAGAGGGTTGCAACGTGGCAAATTCGCGTAAAAAATCTGTGTAGGAAAGAGTTTCACCTTTACGTGAAATTCCCAGTTGTACAGATGTACAGAATTATACAAATTTTGCAGAGCAATGTAAATATGACTGCACCTTTCCAATGTTTAATGGTCTTTATTGTGTTTGTTTTTAGATATTGGCACAATAATGAGAGTAGTTGAGCTGTCTCCTCTGAGGGGATCGGTTTCGTGGACGGGGAAGCCAGTGTCGTACTATCTGCATACGATAGACCGCACCATAGTAAGTGCCCTTTCAATTTGAGTCACATGGGTTTCGTTGTTCCTCTTGGTGTAAAATGGGTCTCTTATTTGCATTAGCCATTATTGTTAGGCATTTGTGTGCGTCACATGTACTGATATCTAACAAATGCCTTTTTTTTTTCTTGCAGCTTGAAAACTATTTTTCTAGTCTCAAAAATCCTAAACTCAGGGTAAGACTTGTTTGGTTCTCATGTTGTTTATGGGTTTTTGGACAAAATATCAAGCTAGATCTCTTCCCACAACACATGTGGTTTGTTTTTGGTTCCAGGAGGAGCAGGAGGCAGCCAGAAGGCGCCAGCAGAAGGACAGTAAGGAGAATAAGAGCAACACCACCACCCCGACCAAGCCCAAGGAGCACAAGGTAGACCTACAGGAGTTACTCGTTTATTTATTTTAATTAATTCATTTTATTAATTCTCTCTCACACACACACACATATATATATATATATATATATCTCAATTGATCAATATTTTATTATATTTCTTTTTCAGTATTTTGTTTTCAATTTATATATTATTTTTGGTTGAATTCTGCCCAAGGATCACAAGGTAGACAAACAGGAATAACTATTTATTTTAAAGGGGTCATATGATGCTATTTTAGAGATCATTATTTTGTGTAACAGAATATGTCGACATGCCTTTAATGTTCAAAAAACACATTATTTTTCAAATACTGTACATTATTGTAGGTCCTCTATGCCCCGCCTCTCTCAAACGCGTCGTTTTCAACAAAGCCCCCTCCTTTGACAAGCGCAGTCTGCTCTGATTGGCCAGCTGACCCAGTGCATTGTGATTGGCCGAACACCACAAGCACGCGTCGGAAATGTAACGCCCCTTACCATAATCGCAGCTTTAGCTTTCAAAGTAAATATCAAGACAGTTAATAATGTCGTTAGTTTTACCATCAGTTCAAGCCTGAAAGGGCAACAGAGTCGCGTGACAGACACAGTGATGATGCAGTACACAAGCGCGGTTAAGACAGCTGACGTGCTATGATTTCTGACAGGCAGTTCACTCTCCTGTGATGTGACCCTGTTCCCCTCTCACACACGACGCGTTACTCTACACTGCGCAAAACTCCGCATTTGAACAGTCAATAGCAAATACTTAAACTAATAACAAAACATACTTACAGTCACTGATTCAGAAGCACCAGATTGTCATAGCAAAGTCGGAATTTACCCTTTTTTTATTTTTTAGAAATAGCCTTTGTGCACAGCCAGCCTTGTACTCTTCTAGGTTAAAAAAAATGGTCGTCCATAAAATGCGTTGCACAAATTCAAACATCTGGGTTGTGCTGTTCTGTTGTAAATAAATCTTAACCAATGATTCCTAATTGCATCTACTTCCGGAAGGCCAAATAAAGTGCTTTTGCACTGAATCACACGGTCTGCCTGACATGGCTGCATCAACACAACTGCTGCTCCTGAAACCACGCCTTCTTTCTTTGCGTGCATATTTGGGCGGCATTATGCTAATATTTCCACATAGTGAGTTAGATATGTGGGGGCGGGTTAGAACGAGGCGTTTTAGGTAGGCGTGGCTGAATCTTAACTTTTATAAAGAATATCTCTTTAGTTTTGAGACTTTAGTCTTTGCAACTTTACAGATCTTCTTTATGCACCAAGAGCTTGTAACACTCCAAAGAGAAAGGGAAACTTGAAATCGCATCATATGACCCCTTTAATGGTGTATATATTTATTTTAAAAATTCAGATGTATCTTTATATACATGTATCTATTTATAAATGTATTTATGAATTTATTTTAAAGGGGTCCTATTATGCTTTTTCAACTTTAGTCTGTAATGTTGCTGTTTGAGCATAAAAAAGATCTGCAAAGTTACAAAGCTCAAAGTCCACTTCAAAAGGAGATATTTTATTTAACAGAAATCACTTTTCAAAAACTACAATGAACGACTCGTTTGGACTACAACGCATGTTTTCCACTGGCCCAGCGAACCAATCACAACACACACTGGCCCAGCGAACCAATCCCAGCACATTTCGTATTTCAGAAGGGGGGCCTTCATTTGATACAGGAACTATTCAAGCCGTTCATGCCAGACTGGGGAGAGAGGTGTTGTAATAATGTAAAATATGTGAAAAATAATGTGTTTTTCAAACAAACTAGCATTGAGAGCCTGTTCTAGTACACCCCCAAAATAAAATCAAGACTTTGTCAAAGAGCATAATAGGACCCCTTTAAATTAATTTATTTATAAATTTTCAATTTACATCATTACATTTATTTATTTTAAAAATATTTAATATAAATTATTTTCTTGTAAATTATGATTTTGTTTAATTAAATTTCTAAATTATGTATTAATTTTAATTTTATGTATATGTAAATATATTAAATTAATAATTTTGTACATTTATGAATTTATTTTAAATGTATTTATTCATAAACTTTTTATTTACCCATTTAATTTTACATTTATTTATTTTGAATTATTTTGAATTTCTTTATTTTTATATTGTTGTTATTTTAAATTATTTTATTTAATTACTTTTGTAATTAAAGTGTATTTTAAGTGTATTTACTTATACATGTATATTTATTTAAAGATTTATGAATCTGTTTTACACTTATTTATTTTAAGTTTTTCCTTTTCTATGAATTACATTTCTGCCCAAGGAGCACAATGTAGGCCTACAGCAATCACGTTTATTTCAAGTTTATCTATTTGTTTATTCATTTGAAATCTATTAATGCGTTTGTTTTAAATTTCCATATTAATAAATATATTTATTTTAAATTATTATTAATGTTTTTAATTAATACAATTTCTGCTTAAGGAGCACAAGGTAGACCTACAGGAATCACTTTTATTTATGTATTCATCTATGTACTTTACGTTTATACATTTAAAATGTATTTATATAAATATAACTTATTTGTATTCAATTGAAAATCTCTTTACCTTGTGCACCAGGTGCAGCATGACTTTGGTGGTGAGGAGGCGCGCTCAAACTCGCTTGTGCGAGTGAAACCGTCACCCAAACCCCGCCGGGCCAAACTGCTGCCCAGGGGCCGCAAGCTCGGCAACAGGAAGCGCGGGCGGCCTAAGAAGGCTGCCACTGCCACTGCAGCTGAGCGTAAGAACAAGAAGAGCCAGATCGCCCTTGATCTGCTGCACGCCAAGACCCTCTCAGCGGCCCCCCCTCAGGGTGAGACACTTGCCTAAAACCGGCACGCCTTTGATGGCTATTTATCAGAACCTTTGACATTGACTTTTGTGGTTTGGTTCAATCCGTAGATGCATACAGGTCACCTCAGAGTCCTTTCTATCAGCTACCTCCCAAAGTGCAGCATTATACATCAAGCCAGCTTCTCATGGGCCCCACTCCACCAGGCCTGCAGGCTCTGCTCGGTACGTTCTGCTCTCCTTTCATATTTAACATGAGGAGATCCATTTCAGTCCTACAGACATGCTCATGTATCTGCTCTAGTTACACAGTCAATCACCCAGTTAACATAAACCACCTTGCTCTTGCTCTAGATAACGTGAAAGTCCAGTACCTGCAGTTCATGGCCTACATGAAGACACCACAGTACCGGACCAACCTGCAGCAAGCCCTTGAGCAGGAAAAGGTGAATCTGTCTTCTTAGTGTGTGTGTGTGTGTGTGTGTGTGTGTGTATATATATTACTAATGATAAACATTGTTAATAACTATAAAATAACAAATGAATAATAATCTCCATTATAATTAATAATAATAAAAATGAATAAAATAAAATTGTATACATAATCCTAATATTGTTATTAATTTTATATGCTTAATAATAATAGACACAATAATGAATTAATTCATTAGAAAATATTTTAGATATTTAAATATACAATTTATAAATTATTGCAAAAATTGTGTATTTTGTTAGTTTTTATTTTTAAAATGCCAAATTGTATTTGTAAAAATATTTTAAAATATTTGTTTAATAACAATACTACTAGATTGTAGAAATAATAATTAATGAGAAAACAAAGTATTTGTATATATTTAAATAAATAAATGTGTTATTTATAAAGTACTGTGAAAAATATGTTAATATATAGATAAACACAAAAAGAAAATGTTAAATGTTTTTTTTTAATTTGTGGATGTTCTTTATTATAACCTATTAATTAACTAACAGTATTCAGTATTTCCACAGTTTTGTGAATTTGTGAGCTCCGAAAATATATGGACTTTATGGTTTTGTCATAACATTATTGTTTTTAATAATATTATTAGAAATAATAATAATTAAATAATTAGTGAGAAGCTATTTAGATATTTAAATATATAATATATATGTTATTATAAAAATGTTGTATTTTGTTAGTTTAAATTTGTTTTAAATTAAAAAAATGGACGTATTTTATTTAAAATATTTGTTTAAAAACAATACTATAAGTAATAGAAATACATAAGAAAACAAAATATTTTTATATATTTAAATATAATTATTTTTGTTATTTATAAATTGTGAAAATTATATTTTACTTTGTTTTGCTTTATAAACACTAATAAAAAGAACAACTGAAAATAAATGTCTGAATTTTATAAATATAAATGTCAAATATATTATAATTTATTAACTAATTAGCAGTATGTTTTCCCCAGTTTTGGGAATTTGTGAGCTCAGAAAATATATGGACTTTATGGTTTTGTCATAACATTATTGTTGAACTTTTCCCTCCCCGTGTCTTTTCACAGCTGAGACACACAGAACTGTCCGGTCAAGCCCAGCAGCTGCTCAACACTTGTCACACTCATAAGGAGAGGATCAGAGACCTTTTCCAGTCCAAACTGGAGGAGGTAAGACTTGTTTCACAACCTAGTGAGCTGACTACCTAGTCAACACTTTCAGATCGGTGATATGTAGACATCTGTGCTAAATGTAACCCCTCTGCCGCCGCTCTCACAGCTGGGTGTGAAAGCGGTGACCGTGGAGGACCTGGTACAAGCTCAGAAGGAGATCACGTCCCACAACATGCAGCTGAGGGAGCAGACCAAACAGCTGGAGAAGGACATGGCCGAGCTCCGCGATCAGAGCCTGGTGCTGGTGAGTGATCCGCAATAAACCCTCATGGCCTGCCTTGACGGAGCAGAAGGATACTTATGATTCAGAAATGAAAGTTTCTGGCAGAAATGGAACTGAACGCCCATTGCTCGTGTGTTTGTCAGCTGAAGGCTCGGTGTGAGGAGCTCAAGCTGGACTGGGGATCTCTGTGTTTGGAGACTCTGTTGAAAGAGAAAGCAGCTCTGCGAAGACAAATCTCGGAGAAACAGCGCCACTGTCTGGAGCTCCAGGTACTCACATGTACATTTTTCTCAGTCAGCTCCGAGCTAATAGGTCATTGCTTCTTTACCATTGGTACAGTTGATGCTGTGGCACGCTGATCTTGGTGCTTGTGCGGTTTGCACTGGTTCAGACCTGGCCTGCAACATGGTACAATCTCATTTTCCCTCTCTGGACTTTAGTAATTTCCTGTTTCCCCACTATTTCGGTCTCATAAAGATGCACTAGGATGACAACCACACAGATTTTTTTGTTGTTTTACATGAATGGTTATGACAACTTGCATGTGTATGTACCATTTTCAAGATTTAAGTAGATTTCAGTTGTTTGGGTCATCTAAAAAAAAACTTGCTGCAACCTATTAGTGGATTGGTTTCATATTTAAAAGTATCATTACATTTTTTTTTTTCCAACATTTCATATTTGTATGTTAAAAAAATGTCAAACATTTATCTTAAAACATTATTTATGCATTTGGAATTTTACTGTGTAAATGTATTAATGGAACGTAATGTTAATAGTTAATAATTACATATACACATATATCTTTATTTTTAAATAATCAATATCGAAAATATATACAGTCCTTCATCCAAGCAAAATGTGTGTATAATTTTACTTGTAATTATATAATAATAGCTATAATATGCAAAGTATTTTTATATAGTTAAATGTGTAATTGCTTTATATATATATATATATATATATATATATATATATACATTGTTTTCTGCAACCATTTTAGCAATTATTCAAGCTGTGGTTTTCTTTTGGCAGAGGAACACTCCTAGTCCAGTTTCGAATCCTGCAGGACAGAGCAATGGCAAGCCGCCTCTCACGCCTACCTCAGGTACAGTCCCGCTGCCTACTTGGCCTGCTTGTTTGTCATAGATGAAGCTTAGCAGTTAGTTAGTTAGTGCATGTAATTCAAACCCTTGCACTAGGAAACTTGACTTTTGCCACGTTTTGGAGGTCAGCATGAAATAAAATTGCATGTTATTAAAATGTATATTCCTTTTTAGAAATAAATAAACAATACTGCTTTAAAAAGACCACAATTTAATTAAGCCTTGATCTGTGTGGGAGGAAGTCATGATATACAGTCTTGTGGGTGTTTTCTGCAAACATTTTAGCAATTATTCAAGCTGTGGTTTTCTTTTGGCAGAGGAACACTCCTAGTCCAGTTTCGAATCCTGCAGGACAGAGCAATGGCAAGCCGCCTCTCACGCCTACCTCAGGTACAGTCCCGCTGCCTACTTGGCCTGCTTTGTTTGTCATAGATGAAGCTTAGCAGTTAGTTAGTTAGTGCATGTAATTCAAACCCTTGCACTAGGAAACTTGACTTTTGCCACGTTTTGGAGGTCAGCATGAAATAAAATTGCATGTTATTAAAATGTATATTCCTTTTTAGAAATAAATAAACAATACTGCTTTAAAAAGACCACAATTTAATTAAGCCTTTTTAAAAATCCTAAAAAGTGTTTTTTGAATGTGGTCTGTGGTGCTCACATGGGCAGTGTGTTTAATTCCGACTTGTGACCATTCCTGATCCAATTTTCCCCATCATTTCCTGTGCTTTCTTCATTTTTGTAATCAACTGAATTGGCAAAATGGCCAAAGGTCTGCTTTTTTTGACCACCTCCATCCTGGAACCACATAACCAGATGTCCAGAAATAGGACAAGGATTCCCGCAGTCTTGGAAAACCTGTATGAGGAAGCCTCATTTTAAAAGTGTGATTTCTAGACCTAGATAAGTCATGTAAATTAATAAAATCTTAAAATTATTATTTTTTCTAGTTTTTCCAACCTCTGAAATAATTTATCAGTTAAAAATTGAGCAAAAATTATTTAAAAAAAATCCTTATCCAGTCGGCGCCGATAGCCTCATGGGCAGCGTGCCGACATACAGCGCCGTTGCGCTACGAGCGTCCCGAATTTGTATCCTTGCTTGACGACCTTTGCTGATCCAACCCTTCTGTCTCTCTCTCCCACTTCGCTTCCTGTCAACTCTAAACTGGCCTATCAAAATGAAGGCAAAAACAACAAAAATAAATCTTTTAAAAAAATTCTTATCCAGTAAATCACAAGTGACTGCAAAAGGCTTGTAAATTCATTGGTAAAAAAAAAAAAGAGAATTTTGGCGGCAATAGCCTCGTGGTTAGCACATCGACGTTCGATTCCCATCTCAAGGTCCTTCGTCGATCCCGCTTCCCTCTCTCCACCCAGTGCTTTCCTGTCATCTCTCTACTGTCTTGTCCCAGGCATAAAAACCCCATAAATATAAAAAGAAGAACATTTCAACTCTTAAAACATCTTGAATTCTGATATTTAATTCACAGAACCAACGAACCCCAAGAACCAACAAGGGTTTAAATGTAACTTTTACATACTGTCATAGACATTGGGGGGGGCCTGTATTCAGAAAGAGTTGAGAACGTCCAATCTAATCTAATATCATCCATCCATGTAGTTTACATACTTTAGTACTGTACTAAATCCAAAATCCGTTTCCTCTTAGGGTATTCCTCCAGCTCAGGGTTGGTGAATGGCTCTCACTCCGCTATGCTGACCGAGGACCAAGACTGTGACGCTGTGTCCCCTCCCCCTCACAGCACTCCCATAATGAACCTCCAGCATCGTGGCTCTGGCCTCAGTCCTGCGCTGGGCACCGGAGGCGTGCTGCAGTACGCTGACGGCCCACCGAGGCTTCCTGAGGATGGCCATAGCCGGCAGAGCCCCGAATCTGACACGGAGCCCTTGGACAGCGAGGCTCGTCGCCGTATCTTTTTCTCCTCGTCCTCTTCTTCCTCCTCGTCTTCGTCCTCCACAGGAGGTTCAAGGCTCCACCACGGGTCGATAAAGCAGGGTCACCATCATCACAGTAAGCACCACCATCACCACCATCATCACTCTCCGAGCTCCCACAGCCAAGAGGGGCGGAAACGAGGGCGGCGGAAGCGCAGCTCCTCTGGGGCCATTCCCATTAGCGGATCCCCCAAAAGAAGGGCATTTCCAGGACTTGGCTGCTCAAGCCATTCTTCTGGATCACCGCTTAATATCAATTCAATGGTGAGTGGACCAAAAATGGCATCTGTTGGTATTGCTCAAACTTATGATTGTCCTGAAATCAGACCCGAAATGTTTGTTCTTTTACCAGGTGAACAACATAAACCAGCCTTTGGAGATCTCCGCCATTTCTTCCCCGGAGCAGTCAGGACGAAGCCCGTGCGGGACAGATCTAGATCAGCCTCCTGTGCTCAAAAGAGAGCGTCCCCTGGAGCTCAACAACACAGGGCGTTATTCCTCAACCCCTAGTTCAGATGAAGAGGGCACCAATTATGCCCCGGACACCTCTAGTTCAAGCCGGTAATTGCTCTTTTCTTTCAAATCTGGTTCATTGGTGTTTCATCTTTGTAGATCATTGAAAAGATGGTTGATGGAGAACTGTTTTCTCTTTCAGAATTGAACGCAAAATCGCCACCATTTGCTTAGATCGAGACGGACCCATGAGAGATGTGGAAAGGAGTAAGTGCGGTGCATTTTGGCTTATGGACATTTCACGTTCTGACTCCACTAGCTATTTCTCATGCAATGTGGCATTTTACAGGCTTGCAAGGACGTAAATCAGGTGCCAGTAGTGTGAGCAGTGAGGTATCATCTTCGTCTGGATCCAGCAAGTGGAAATCCACTTTCTCCCCAATCTCGGACCCCAAGCCAACTCCTCCGGATCACCGCCAGGGTGGCTCACCATTCGGTGTTGGGGCTTCCCGAGGCGGTACGGACTCCGACTCGGACCAGAAACCGCAGAGGAGAGGGGAACGTGAGCGGGAGCCTTACGGGAACTCGAACCTCTTCCTCAGTCAGGATGGTGGCGGTCGCTCAGTCGTCAGTGCATCAGAGCGGCCCCTGCAGAGACAGAAATCGCGGGAGTGGGACCTGAAATCCGTAAGCGGATTGGCCAGCCAGAACCTCTTTATATCCGCCGCGGCCAGTGGAGGCATTTTGAGTGGGAAAGTGGGCGGGGCCGTCACAGTTTCCTCTGCCTCTCCAGTGGGACAGTACTTCCCCCTGGGCGGGGCTTCGGTCCTCCAGTCCTTATTTGGAGCTCAGATGCCCGGACCCGCCACCGGCGGAGCCCCCCGGTTGGTCAACGGACATTCGGCGCTCAGCAGTTTCTCCAGCGCCGGGCTGGCAGGGGGCGCTGCAGGAGGTGAGTTGGATATCTTCTGTCTCTCTTTCTGTTTTCCGGTGAATATTGAGCTCATGGTCAGAACAGTCGCTTGGGTGTAGAAAAAGGTAAGTTATGGCCCAGCGCTGCCACATTGCCTGGCTCTCCCACACTGCTTGCTGTGCTGACTGTGCAAAGGCTACAGCTACACACCTAGAGGAAATGACAGCAGGTTGTAGTAAGGTGAATTTCACAGAAACATGTCCGACATATTTCACCCCAAAGACGAAAGGAAAAAGTATATGTATAAATAATATTTTTTTCCCACTTAGTTTTTAATTTTTTGCTGACTTTTTTCTTCTTTTGATTTTGCTGTGAAATATAACATGTTCTTGACATGACTTGTGGGATTCACCCAATGAAACGTACTATTTGAATACAAAACTTACAAAGCTCAGGCCTTTTAAATAATTTTCACTGGCCTTGATGGTGTAAACTGCTGATTTAAAGGCCTGTGAAAATGTCAGAACTGTTAAGCTCTCTGTTGCTTATGAGATTGGCGAGAAACTCCTTGGCTTTTATGGCTGTATTTCAGGCCTTCACGTTTTCTCTGGGTGTTTTACTTAATTGCAGGTCTTGTTTTTGGGTGTTGAGGCATTTCACTGTGTACCAGCACCTCACAGTCCACAGAGATGAATTAGTTACTTGAATAATCTGATGGATGGATGGATAGATAGAGTGATTGATTGATTTAGATTGATCTAAATAGAGACATTTATAAATGGACATAGAAATATGGAGATAGATGGATAGATATGTAGATGGAGATATTTGCATATAGATATTGAAAGATGGCTAGAGAGAAATGGTGGCTAGATAGACATGGATAGGTAGATATGGAGATAGGTAGTTGGATATAAATGGATGGATAGAGAGGTGATGAATAGAGAGATGGATGGATAAAGAGTTTGATTTAGATGGATGATAGATACATGGATTGAAAGATGGATATAGTTGGATGGATAAACGGATATAAATTGATATAGATATAGGTAGACGCAGGTAGATGGATAGAGAATTGTATTTAAAGATATAGATATGTAGATGTAAATGGATATAAATATTAGTTATAGACTGGTGGATATATATGAGTAGAGATAAGGATAGATGGATATAGACTATTGTATTCTATATATAGATGTGTATATATAGTTAGAATCTCCATAAAAGCTTTAAATTGATGCACACACTTGTAAAACCCAAACATTAATTGCAAATCGTTAATTATCCTTTATGTACCATATAGAAGAGGTGTGCAGCTCTCAGGTTTGGTGTGAGGTGCTTCTGGTCCATCAGTGCAGTGCCTCGTCGCTTTAATCTGTGCTTGTTTGTTGGACTGGCTTGCTGCTGTGCACAATCTGGCTCAGCCCCCATCTTCTGTCTCTGTCTTTTGCTCCCTCTCTGTGCTGTATGTCTGTAGGGATTTTTCACCACATGGTGCCTTCAGTCTCCTCCCAGCAGTCTGGGGCCAATCTCCCAGGCCCCGGGGCCCTCAGTTCCCAGCAGAGGCTTCTGGACACCAACCCCAAAACGGGGGCCTCGTTCTTGGCCTCTGGCCCCTCGCAGCACAGCCGCACACAGACAGTCCTACATGCTCCCTCCCTCGCCCTCGCTCCGCCCCCTCCCCTCCTGAACGCGTCCTCCGCCACCCCATCCCAACCTTCCTCCCCACGTCCCGAGCGCCACCAGTCCTCAAGGCCGCAGTCGTCCCTCCCCGCCTCCACCTCCTCCCCGTCTCTGGCTGCCACATCTGCTTCCTCCACCTCCTCTGCTTCCTCCCGGCCCTTCACTGTGCACTATCCCCCGCACCTGCCACCTCCACACCCTCCCAGCAGCGCAGGTTCAGGTGGGGCTGGGACGTCCTGGAGGACTCTGGGTATGCAGGCATCCTACACGGCCTCGCAAATCCCCGGCAATCGCCCCAGATAGGACACGTCCAGGTGTAGGAGGGTGGGGGGAGGGGGCGGTTTGACGTGGAAAATAGACTATTGCTAGACGGACACAGGGAAGCTACTGCCAGCTATAATGTTATGAGTCCCAACAAGATATGTGGTGTTGGCATGGAAATGGGCTACATGCTTTGCTGCTTTTCTTTTTTTTTTTCGTAGCTGCATTTCCTGCGAGTTCTTTGGGTTTCAGAAACCAGCTGTTAAGACTATTAATGTCAGAATTGCCGTTTTGTTTGAAAATATCATTACATGTTCAGGGCTCAACAATGTGAGGAGTGAATCGGAGTGATTTCTACTTTTACTAGCCCACAAAAATGCTATTTTATTTTGCGTAGCAAGAATACACAAAACGTATTAGTAATGTATTTTTGTAAGTGTTTGAAAAATATTTATTTTTTCCATTAAATGTTTTTCCCCTGTCGAAAAAGGACATTTAAAAAGGCTAATTTGGATATTTTACTATGTTCCAATTAAATAGAATATTTTAGTAATTTTATAATGTAACTAAATTTCATAAACTTTTTTTGCTGGTTTGATTATGATGGTTTATTGTGCAAAATCTAGTTGAGATGCAATGTTTAAAATATTTCTATCATAATATTATTTTATTAATAATTGATTTATGAATGTGTGTGAATCATTTTAATAGCTTATTTAACTTGATTTAATTATTGATTTTTTGATTCATATTTTATTTTATAGAATAGGAATAAATTATGAATTAAATAAAACCATAAGGAAGGTCAATTGACTGAAATTTTGCTAATAAACATATTTGTGATGGTGCACATTTGAGTAGTGTGCAGGATATATGTTTTCTTCTGTAATTCTAAAACATGAACCAATTTATTAATAGTTCAATTGAATATTTTTTTATGATTCATATTGTAAAGTATAATGCAAAATATCTACTAATTATTAAACAACTTAAACATTTAATAAAAAAACAAATTATATTTGTATTTGTACATAAAGAAATCGTGTTTTGCACATTAAGCCATAATAATCATCCAGGAAAAATGGTTATAAAATAGTTTATTATTTTGTTATATGTAATATTATTACTTGTATAAAAATAATATAAAATTCATACAAATTTTAGCCCATTGTAAAGGATGTTTACAAGCAAGTCCCTCTTGCAGAATTTGAAAAAACAAACAAACAAAGTTTTAAACATTGCAGTCCAAATACATAAGTTTGCCAGGCATGTAAATTGTTGAGCCCTGATGTTGATGAAGTATATCCACATCTTGTGTAATTCCTGGATTTTACCCCTGACTGGTTACAGGTAACTGAAGAAATCTACCTCAACCCAACATAACCTATGCAATGGACAGGTGTGGACCAATGGGCTCGACTCGCTCACCGGTGCTCAAACTTTTGCTAAAAGACGCCACTGTAAAACTGGCATGGGTATCAGAACTTATCACAGGTGCAGCTTAACACACACACAGCCCCTGAATCACATTCAGATTGACACAGTATGCAGCTTATGATCAATAATTGTGAGTTTAACATGGCCTTACTGATGGATGGTTTTCTAAATTTGCAGCCATCTTCTGGTGGATTCACAATCGATGACACAGGAAGCGTTTTAAATGTCAGGAATATAATTACAGTCAGTCCGGTTTCAATGTGCCGTACACGCTCTCAAAAAAAGACTTGTGAATCTCCGTAACCTTGCTACTGTTATCAGTGGAGAGAAATGTGGCTTTTTGTGATTGACAACTCCTATTCGGATGGACTCCATGAAGCCCCTGGAGCCTGATGCCGTTCCCGTGCTGGGACGTCACCCTAACAGCCGGAGCTTGTGCTGTGAACTCACTATTTTAGTGAAATTGATGTTAACAAACCTGTCTGGTAGTCACCTTGGCTTGGGCATTTTAACTTCTCATCATATTAATTATTTGCCTTGTACGGTGAAATATGTAGGAAACCACAAGCTCCAGCTGTATAAGGGTGAATCCGCAAGTGATATTTTACCTAAAAAAAAAAAAAGACCATTTGAAATTATTGCTTAATATTTAAAAAAAAATTACAAATATTTTTTTGGTAATTGTGAAATTTTTCATGACTGTTAAACACATTTTCCTTAAATTCTCATTACTATAATGCAAAAAAAAAAAACCATTTGTCATGTACTGTAATTCATCTGAATGTATTTAGAATTATTTATATATATATATATATATGTGTGTGTGTGTGTGTATGTATATATATATATATATATGTGTATGTGTGTGTGTGTGTATGTATATATATATATATATATGTGTATGTGTGTGTGTGTGTATGTATATATATATATATATATGTGTATGTGTGTGTGTGTGTATGTATATATATATATATATATGTGTATGTGTGTGTGTGTGTATGTATATATATATATATATATGTGTATGTGTGTGTGTGTGTATGTATATATATATATATATATGTGTATGTGTGTGTGTGTGTATGTATATATATATATATATATGTGTATGTGTGTGTGTGTGTATGTATATATATATATATATATGTGTATGTGTGTGTGTGTGTATGTATATATATATATATATATGTGTATGTGTGTGTGTGTGTATGTATATATATATATATATATGTGTATGTGTGTGTGTGTGTATGTATATATATATATATATATGTGTATGTGTGTGTGTGTGTATGTATATATATATATATATATGTGTATGTGTGTGTGTGTGTATGTATATATATATATATATATGTGTATGTGTGTGTGTGTGTATGTATATATATATATATATATGTGTATGTGTGTGTGTGTGTATGTATATATATATATATATATGTGTATGTGTGTGTGTGTGTATGTATATATATATATGTATGTGTGTGTGTGTGTGTATGTATGTATAAATATACATGTATGTGTGTGTGCTTAGCAATTATACATAATTTAGTTAAATTCCAATATTATTTTGCATTGCAGTACTACACATGCTTATTGTTTGTGAAAATATGTTTTGCAGTACATCTATAACATTGTTTCTTGCATTACAGTTTTGGGAGGTGAAACTGATTGTCATGAAAATCAAGTCACTACAAAAAAAAATAAGCTTATGTTGTGTGTATGTATGTATAAATATACATGTATGTGTGTGTGCTTAGCAATTATACATAATTTAGTTAAATTCCAATATTATTTTGCATTGCAGTACTACACATGCTTATTGTTTGTGAAAATATGTTTTGCAGTACATCTATAACATTGTTTCTTGCATTACAGTTTTGGGAGGTGAAACTGATTGTCATGAAAATCAAGTCACTACAAAAAAAAATAAGCTTATGTTTTTATTATTAGTATTTTATTTTTATTCTTATTTTACGTTCCTTTTTGGGGTGAAATATGACCAGGCATGTTCTTGATGGGCTTCATGAGATGCACCAATAATTAAAATAATTTCATTTTTATTTTTACACTGGATAATTTACCTGTGGAGCTGTTCATGACAAACATATTAAAATGGCATGTCATTTTAAAAATGTAAGCTTTTATTAATCAAAGGGAAAAAATGGTAATTTTACATGCATGTAAAATAAATAATAATTAAAAAAAAATGAAACAAATGCACCTTCCAGGAATACACGATTAAATCACAATGTGCAGGGAGAGAAGCAGTTGGAGCCAGAGAATGAGCGACAAGCCTGTAAGGAGCTGTTTAATCAGGCTAGTTACTTTAACTACCAGATCTTATTGAATCACTACGCTTACCGTTTGGTTTGGTTTGGTTTAGGGCCCCGTTTTAGTACTCAAGCTTCCATGTTCCTACCAGTTACTGCTGAACCTTTAATACAATGCACATATTTTGTTCAATCGCGGTGTCTTACACGGTACAGGCTTATTCAGGTGAATCTGGTGCTGAACCATATTCCTCGCAGATTTCATAGGTGTTTTCCTTCGGATTCCCAAATCCGATGTTGTCGTGGTGCTCTTCGCAACCTGGAAAGCCAGCGCACGCTTGTACATACAAACACACTGATTAAAAGATGTACACACACTGGGAAAATGCAAGATCACAAAACGACAAACTACTGGGCAACTTCAACATCCTTTTTTTTCTCTTTTAATCCTTTGTGTATGTTTTTTTTTCTGTACTGTGAATTGTAGTCTCTCTCGGACTGTATAATTGTGTATATAATTTGGGTTATTTATCATTTTAATGTTCTGCCTTTGTTATTTCTTTTGGTTTGGGATTGCTCTTATATTGTATTAGAGCAGAGCACAACATGTGGAAAGTGTATGTACTTGACTCGCAGTCTAAAACCAATGGTGCTACAATCTGTACAACTTTAGACTGTGCTTATTTATATTAAGATCATCAACAGCAACAACAAAAAAAGAATTGAATAAAGATTATTTGGTGCTTCTTTTACACAGGGATGTTTTCAAGCCTTGCGGCATTTATTTTTTCAATATTTATAATGTATTATTTGGCGCCCAGCATGAAGCAGCCCCTGCCTGTATGGATCAGTGCCGTTTTTATCTAGAAGAAACACCTTTTGGTCTTAATTGAACTTAAAGCAGCATGAAAGTACATTGCAGAACTTTATAGGATGATAAACTTTTTCTTTTGAAGTATTTACTTCAGTGGTGCTCTGAAATCGACCTGTGAGACAGGTAGTGAATGCTTTGAATTACACGCATGGCACACTGTTGAAACTGGTGTCATGTGGCGTTTCGTAACATGATTTCTCGTAAGGAGAACATGTGCTAAGCCTGTTTGCCTACTGTCTTGGGGCCCATACGGCTCGGTGCTGTTTCTTAAAATCGTTGTTTTCTTCGCAAATGTAAAGCAAACAGCTTCATCTTACACAAACTGGCGCTGCTGTTCACACAGATGTCGAAAATACCAGAGCGCCCGTACCAAAACCTACAATCCACTATCAAAGCCTGTCCTAGAGTGCGTCGTGTAACCTAGAGTTTGAGCCTATTGCGTATCGTGATGTGAAGTTGTTCTGATGTGACCGGTCGTAGATTTGGCTAGTGTTTTGTCAGTTGGCTAGTACTAGTGGTTGACCGATATGGGTTTTCCAATGACTGTTATCATATCTAGAGAATA